TAATCTTATTTTAAGTATTTTTCAAATAAGAATAATACATATCTTTAGACATTTGTGCAAACTGAAATTATTAAAATAAGTGAAACAATGTTTTTGGTTATGTTATTGGAAGAAAACCATGTATAATTTTAAATGAATTATTTTACTGTAGGAACAACTTAAAAGGAAAACACTTTGTTCTGGATTAATATTAAATATTACATTCCAGTGATGTGCAGAAAATTAAATGGCCATATCTCAATATTATGACACATACATGAAAAACCTGGATTTACCAAAAAGACAAACAAGAATATAATTCCTCAAAAGGATTTTTAAACAAATTCCCTTTCTATATGTTAAAGCTCCTTTTAAAACTTTTATGTGAACATTAACTTTTAAATAATATACTAAAACATCCACTGAAGTTATCATGTACTAATTGTTAAAAGTAATATTTTTAGATGGAGATAAGCTAAACAACTGTTAACATTTTGTGTATCAAAAATTATCATCTTAACTTATACTGAGCAGTGAGTGACTTGTAAGTGCTAATCTTAAACAGAATTTCAAGAGTTGATGACCCACGCTAGTGAGTGGTTGTTAACTTGTTTAGGTTACACTGACTACGAATAATGAAAGCTATGGATTCTCTCTCTCCAGGAAAAAAGAAAGATATGTTCAAATATATAAAATGTTGCACACAATTTAAAGGGTGTTATTACATACTAACCTTGGATAATATTTGAGAAAATACTAATAACATTTCTAAAAACTGAGTTTCAACTGGCAAATTGAAAATTAGAAAAACTGTTCATCAGACAAATGAATTTCACTAAAATAAAAGGTACTAATATTGGGGGTTTTTTGTAGTTACATAATTACAAAAGGAAGAATCAGTGCTCAAGACCAACAGATAAAAAGGGGGTAAAAAAATCACCTGCTGATTGATTATAATAGATAACTGAAGAAACAAGGAGGGATAAGGAACCAGCATTTGTTGATTCTCACTTTGGGTCTGACCCCATGCAACATGTCTTCCTTTTGTTACCTGCATAATTAGTCTGCACAACAAGCCTCAAAGGCAGCTTGTATTACTTTCATTTTGCATATGAAAATGAAGGCTAACAGAGGTCAAGAAACTTAAAGCTACACTAGGAAGTGGTGGGGCTAGGATTTGAAACCAGGCCCTTTAACCTTGAGTTCTTTCCATCCTATTACATAGCATAAAATTGTAAAGAATTTTTGTAAATAAGAACTTTTTACAGATATTTTATAAATATTTTACAGATATGATCTTGAGACGAATAAGAGAATGACCTTACTATACCTGGCCAAGAAACTGAGAGTAATAATTTTTTATACGCCTGCTCTGCCCCCCACCTTTTTTTATATCCTAGTACACCAAATT